CTTCATGCAGATGTTTATGCACTGGGTCATAAATCACACTAAATTTGAGAGGCAACTATCTTTGACATAATTTCTAGACCTACTTAACCCCAAACCTGTCGTCATGGATAGTGTGAAAATTCTGGTACTGCCCTAAACAACCCCGATACCTAAGGAAGTAATTTTCTATTTGAGCCTTTGACTGAAAAACTTAATTTTGACTTGTTTAATACAGTAAGTTTGTAAGTAGAAAGTCAATCAGTTGTAATGAACGTAGAGCCATGAACAAATGACTATCAGTTGAAACCGGTACATATATCAGCACAGCGAGATGAATGGTTAACGAGTCGAAAAACTAACAGTATTACCGATATTCAAAAACGCTAAACATTGGAGAATAAAGTTCGATGGATTCACTGAATAAAAAGTATCAGAATTCAGGATCTAAGAGGGAAAGATAAAGAATAAATACATTTGTGCCATTACAGTTGATTATGAGCTATATTAACTATGATCTCCAACGATTGATCACGATTACTGCACATACTTCAACCAGGTAGAGTCTATGCCTAATAACACACCTCAAATTGAAAGTTAATGATGAATTTATATTTTTGTTATATCCCAATGAGTAGAAAAATTATTCTGACACTTCGTGATTTAATGTAAGCCAGGTACTGTAAAGAAGCGGCTCACATTGTCACGAAACGTCAGGATAATTTCCCTATTCATTGGGATGTAACAAAAATATATTTAAATCGTTCAGGTCATGGGTCAGTTGAAGCTAGAACACCATGGGAAACCTGAAAACACTGTTTGACGGCCGTTTCGTCCCATTATGAGACTCCTCAGCAGTGCATCCACGACCCCGCATTGCGAGGTCCGGACCCAGAACCTATCAGTCTCTCGCGCGAGCGCTTAATTACTAGACCACTGAGTCGGCATCTAACGGTGTTAATGTCTAACTTCAACTAATCCACGAAATTGAGCGACACATCCACCATTGTCATCAGTGAGTTACATGGTGGTCTAGCTTCAATTGACTTATGATCTCAACGATTTAAATTACTGCAATCTCCAGGAAATCCCTTCTGATACTAATCAACATATGCTCACTAGTTACTGGCTTCAAGAGGTATATTCTGGAGTTCTAGTGATAAGCAGTGATCAAAGGAGTTCAACCGAGTCTGTCGTGAGATAGTAACTCATTAAAGACAATGGTAGATGTGTCGATCAATTTCGTGGATTAGTTAAAGTTAGACATTCACACCATCGGGTACCGGCTGGCTCAGTGGCCTAGAGGTTAGGCGTTCGCGTGCGAGACTGATAGATTCTGGGTTCGGACCTCGCAACGCGGGGTCGTGGATGCACTGCTGAGGAGTCTCATAATAGGACGAAATGGCCACCTAGTGCTTCCAGGTTTTCTATGGTGATCTAGCTTCAATTGATTTATGATCACAACTATTGAAAAATATATTTATTAACTTTCTATCTAATGTTCAATTTATTTGAAACTATCAAGTTCAACCTTGACATTGATACCTATAATAGTTAATGGTTCGGTTGCTTTTAACTTTCTTTTATACCTCTAATCTTATAAGATTAAAGAAGTAAGTCTGTTAAAATGGTTATATATTTACATGAATATACGTTTAGTATTTTTTTTAAAATTTATTTTAGGCAACAGCATTGAACTCAATCAATGAATATGTGAAACGAAATGAAGTGTCCAAATCATTTCACATATTACGTGAACATTTTGGTTTTAAAAATTTACCATCAAAACGTTTTATTGTTGATATTTTATAAATAAGATGCATTTCTATAAATAAATGTTGAATATTTTTTTTGATTGACGTTTTTCTACGGGATGGGGTCGCTAACCCTATACTCAGCCCTTTTCCTTTATCCGGGCTTGGGACCGACAGTAGCCCCTGGAGGAACTCCAGGTGACAATAAATGTTATATATATATATATGTACAAAATATTCAAATATGTTTCATCACAATATTCTTTATTCTGGTCAGTCCATTTTAACCAACAAAATTTGAACATGTTTATGATATCTACTTTAGAATGTTTTTAGTCTGAGTAGATCTTGAAATGTAGTAGTATTCGATTTATAGAATTTATACTTGTTATGTCTCAAGGAGACAGTCGATTATATGACAGTGACTTATCGATCGGATCAAGGATTCAGAATCTCGATAGACTATTCTGGTCCGTTGTCCCCAACTCTGCTAACTCGATCAAGAAGTCTGGGTAAGGTGTAGAAAGTGTATTCTACAGACAAACAGCAGATAACAAGTCAGGCAGGCAGATCAGATCAAGCATACAAGTTAAGCGTATTTATACAAATATTTATAATCGATATTGTCATGGAAGATTTTTGAACATTAATCAACAATTGACTGCTATTTGAACATTTAATCGATAGTTCATCAATTGACCTATCTGCACATTTAATCGATAGTTCATCAATTGACCTATCTGCACAGTTAATCGATAAGTAAATTACAAAATTTGAGTTTTGGGGATCTATCGTCCCCAACAATACTGACATAACTATATTTGACACTTAGATTACATTTAAAGACCAATTCCATAAAATAATGTTAAATTGTAACTAATTGTAAAATAACTTAGGTTCTATAGAAGAATTTCGTCGCATTAAGTTGTCATCACCTTACAATACAATGAAAAATCAATAGGATGGGGATTCGAAAGAAATTGAAAGAATAGTATTTTAAATGATAGGGAAAAACGTTAAATAGACAATACACTCTAAAACAGAATGAATGAACTCGAAAAATAAAAGATAGAAAGATGTTCAAGTTTATAAGGAACGGGAATACATGCTAATTTAAAGAATGTTAAGCTGTCATTTAACATAATCAATACAAAATTCCGACTAGTAATACTATTTCAATGTATATCACAACTGTTTCTTAATATCGAATGTGAGAAATTGTAGGATTAACCTGTATCATCAAGTTTTAATATCAATCGAAGAGGAATTACCTGTCAACCATATTCTGTACAAAAGCAACTTCTAGAAATTACGCTTTTGGAATACCTGTAATAAAATCAGCATTATATTCTTAGCTGTTCTGTGAAGCGTTGATTCTTACATATCTGCCTTTATAATGCTTCCAGATGCCCTGGTACGATCGAGGGTTGGGGAAAGTTAGGTCTTCCTCTCAAAATGTTCTCACATGGCCACGCGTATGCAACTACTCCCTTCTTCCAGCGCGTGTGTTGTTTACTAAAATGAGAGGACTAGATGCGAATGTCCGGGCGCTTTAACCGGGTTGGTGGATATGGTTTGATGGCCCTTATCTGACTCCATTTAAGTCGTACGCCGATTATTATTGAAATATACATCCCGACTACCCTCGTATGTAATCATCGACCTAAATCGCGTCACTGAATAACGGATTTAACTAAGCCAAATACGCGATTGGATTTTGAATCACATGTAAGGCGGCCTGCTTGAGCATCTGGGCTACCTGTTCCTGCCATCTAAATATTTCAACAAGTTATCTATTTACTGAACTGTTAACATCTAACTGGCGACCACTCAAATATTTATCGCCAAGACCGATCAGGAAGAAAGAAACAGAAACCTGTTGAAATACTTTGCGCTGAGAATTCTATATTGTACTGAAAATATAATATTGAATAAAGCTAATAATTATATATATATATATATATATATTTCTTACGATGGTCAGTCAGTCAACTACAAGGTAGGACCAGGCATATGTATGCATCGGTCCAAGTTCCCACACCACTAGCACAAGATGAACACCGCATTCATAGAAGTAGTTACTTCAATGGTAGTAATATATAAAAGATTGTGTACAAGGATATAGTGCAGAAAAAAACATTAAGTAACTTTGACCTCACGGTTTAAAGGAAGACAAAGAGTGTATACACCGATGCCATTGTGGTCGATTCTGAACCATGTCACCCAGAGTCTCCAACCATTGGTTACGGTAGTCACGCGGACCCCAACCAAGTAGTCTGCATCTACCAACATGGCTCAGACTAGAAGTTAGTTACTTTATGGACTGGTGTCACTTCGGTTTGGCTGCTCCCTCTAACTTTCTTCCAACTATCCCCAACACCGGTTAGCATTGCGCGTCGTAGTAAATGGTGTTTGGGTATACGTAACAAGTGGCTCAACCATCTCAGTCGATGAAGATTTACAACATTATCAGCTGATTTACCATCATTTCCGAATACCCTGCGTCTAATCCCACTTTTACTTACCCGGTGATCCCAGCAGATGTGAGCAATATTTATAAGACATCTGTGATCGAGTACTGGTAGCTTACAAGCATCCTATAGTCTTAATGGCCACGTTCCGCAGCCGTAGGACAGGAAGAATTGCCGTGCAGTAAACTCGTCCCTTAATTGGTAGGCGGATATCTCACCTTTGCCATAGGTGATGTAAGTTGGCGAAAGCCAAACGAGCTTTTCGGATCCGTACTGAGACTTCGTCAGACACCAATCCATTAGGGCTGATCAGACTTCCAAGATAAATGAATTTGTCGACAAGTTCGACTAATTCACTTTCCATCCTTAGTTCACGTGTTGACGCAAGCCAGTCTTGAATCAACAACTTGGATCTAGAGGGGGAGGAACGCATCCTGGCATTGTTGCTCAGTGCTACGAAAAGACTGCATTTTATCAGCATCTTCACCAAACAGGACTATGTCAACTGCGTATTTTAAGTCGATAAGTGGACCTCCTGATACAAGATCGATGCCCGAAAATTAAATCGACGAGAACGTTGTCTATGGTGAAGTTGAACCGAAATGAAGATAGTTGACAGCCTTGCCGGACACCACTTGAGGCTGAAAAATCATATGACAGTTCGCCATAAGTTTTGACTCGACTAGTAGTGTTCGAGTAAAGAGCCTTCACAAGGTTTATGTACTTTTGAGGTACACCTTTGAATGACAGACACTGCTACAGAACCTCTCGGTCTAAAGAGTCAAATGCTGCTTTCAAGTCAAGAAAGACCACCATTGTCGGATGCCGAATCGTTGATCTGAACAGACTTAGACGAAGTGAAGGAAGCAAAATGAAACTTGATAACGTGCAGTGATGGAGACAAAGGGCCAACTCCATTTAATCAACCGTGAATCAATATTTATAATCAAGCAAAAATAAGTTACAGACAATGAATAGAGTGAGTAATTAACACACACGTAAATAAAGACAACCAGAGTTAATAAGCGAATAAGTGACAAAGAAAAGATGTGGCTCGGGAAGAATGAATAAACTAGTCTGTTCGGAAGCTGGAATAACCTATGCGGATTTGACATAGTACCAGCCCCTGAGATTCGAGATCCACTTAGAGGAGTGGTCCCCTAAGAAAATCGCCTGCCTAGGTTTGGGCACACGAGCAGTATGACAACCCCCACACAAATCAAATAATTTGTGTAGAGCGTACCTGTTTGGTGCCTCATTGTACCAATGTTTGTTTTAAAATAAACAAGAACAAAAAGTATGTTGACTGGTCACTGAGGAGTTCGAACTTGGTTGCCTAGTTCCGCATCAAAAGACATTGCCATTAGGCGACCGCCAAGAACCTGCAGAGCTCGACGTATATGAATAAAATGTTTATCTAGCTTGTGACCCACTAATTAGAGAAACGTCTTTTATTTGGAGTCTGAGTAATTAGTAACTCGACACTGGATGATATGAATTTAAGTAGTCAGAGAAACGACTATACTTGAATTCTTTACATCTTGATGTCAATGTTCCAACCTTCGTTACCCTATTTCACCAGCTATTTCGTAATACTTAATCGAACTTTAGTTATCACCATCATTGACGCTATTTGTTCCTTTTCCATGCGTTACATATAGCTTAATTTACTTCTTAAATTTAAAGTGAAGTAAACCAATCGAGTAACAGACGCGTGATGTTCTATGCTGTGCATTACCGAGTCATGCTGAACAACCAGATATCTGTGTTTGAGCCGAGAGACTTCGATGCAACATTTTACTTACGTTTGTCCTAAACGATATTGTTAAAAAAATGGGATTCAAACAAACTAGACCAAGCGGGGTAATCGACGTGACTTTTATAATCTGTGAAGTCATTCCGTAGATTTCTGACGGCTTAAACTAAACATTCAAGTTATGTTCCACAAAACAAGATGTGGACATCTGAGAAATTCAGTACAGTCACGCCAACAAATTACTTCGCAACTGAGTTACAGAGTAGCACAGCCTGGGTAGGGATTACATTGAGTAGCATTTTCGACTTGATCTTCCAAAGTCGTTAAAGCAGCACCAACACAACTTATAATAAAGGGGCAGACAAGAATACAAGGAGTTCACCAAGGGATTTCCAAATGTTATGTCCAAAAATAAATGGTTTCGAGGATGGTAAAACATCACTGTTTCATTTTCAGATGTGCTTTATTCACACAAATTGCTCAGCCTATAAATTAAGAAGTATTGATCAAACTAATAACAGTAGATAATGGTAACTGAGCAGTACTTAAGACGAATCAATAAAACAAAATGGTATATTATGTTCAGTGTTTGTAGATTACAAATGCCAGCCCATAAATTACATTTTAAGAAAGAATTATCGTTAGTTTCCAACAATGATGCTGTTAATAGGGACGAAAATTAATTTGATAATAAATCCGAGTACGCCCATGGCCAAAAATCCGATTGCAGTAGCAATAGCGTTTTTTTTAAATTCTATGAATGAAATTTTCGAAAATTAATGCTCACCTTTACGATCTGGTTTTGTACATCGATTAATAAAATGTACAGAATCCTTAGAAAAACGAACCAGAGGCTCAGCCAGAGTCGAAACCCTATCCATTTCAAACACGTACGTATATAGTAGTTGAAATTGCGCTACTACAACGATTATAAATTTAAGGTATATAAACACTTTCCACACAACAATTAAAGAACAGTTAATGTCTTAGCTCTTAAACTTTATTATTTGGATACACTATGGAAATTAAACGGCAATCAATGCAATATTGTAGCTTTTTGCTTAGTACAGTTAAGGGTATTTTGATGGCGCTTCTTCAGCGAGATTGATCAACTCTCACGACGGAATCAGACCTGTGGAGATGTAGACGGTTGACTTTATTTCATTTGATGTAACTTTTCTTAATTTCAACCACTTTATACAGACACTATATTAACTAGGAATTTTGTTGATATATATCTGGACCTATAACTCCGCCTGGATTCCCTATGGGAGCTACTGCCGGTCCTAAGCCCTAATAAAAAAGGAGGGTTGGGCATGGGGTTAGTGACCCTAACCCGTAGAAAGCTAACACGCTGAAAAAAATTACCAGAAAAATTTATTCAGAACACATAAACTCTGCCCTGGGAGTCAGAAGGTCTTCATTTAGAAGAACTATGAAGCCGAGTTCCTTCGGAAGTCACGAGACTGATGCCCCTTCTGACAACCAGAGTAACCATTTATTTGAGTACATGGAATACTCGTTCAATGTGGGGACTTGGGAGAGTCTTCCAAATTGCTGCAGAAATGAGGAGATACAGCCTGGAGGTGCTTGGGTTCAGTGAAATACATTGGACGCAAGTTGGACAACAACGACTAACTTCAGGAGAGCTTCTGTTATACTACGGCCATGAAGAAGAAAATGCACCACATACACAAAGAGTTGCATTGATGCTGTCCAAACAAGCACAAAATGCACTTATAGGATCGGAATCTCATGGACCAAGGAACATCAGAGCTTCCTTCAAAACAAAGAAAGAGGGCATTTCAATGATCATCATCCAATGCTATGCGCCTACCAACGACTACAATGAAGACGCTAAAAATCAATTCTACAATAGGCTGCAGTCAATCGTCGAGAAGTGCCCAACAAAGGACCTGACCATTCTGATGGGAGATTTAAATGCCAATGTTGGAATGGACAATACCGGATGTGAAGACATCATGAGACGGCACGGACTGAGAGAAAGGAACGAAAATGGTGAGAGATTTGCAAACCTATGTGTTTTCAATAAACTGGTCATAAGCGGCACTTTATTCCCACATAAGCGCATTCACAAAATCAGATGGACTTCACCGGATCACACCACGCAAAACCAAGTCGACCACATCTGTATCAACAAAATGTTCAGGAAGAACGATGGAAGATGTGAGAACCAAGAGAGGAGCTGATCTTGCCTCAGATCATTACTTGCTGGTCGCCAAGATGAAATCGAAACTCAAGAAGCACTGGACAATGGGGCGGACAACATCACAAACGTTCAACACGGCCTTTCTTCAGGATACTGACAAACTCAACAAATTCGAGGTAGTCCTCAGCAACAAGTTCCAGGCCTTTCATGATCTACTCAATGGAGAGGGAACTACTATGGAGGGCAACTGGAAGGAGATCAAGGAAGCAATCACTTCATTATGTCATGAGGTCTTGGGTCACAAGAAGCACCATCACAATGAATGGATCACTGTTGATACACTGGATAAGATTCAAGAAAGGAGAAACAAGAAGGCAGCAATCAATACCAGTCGAACAAGAGCAGAAAATGCCAAGGCACAGGCTGAATACACAGAAGTAAATAAACAAGTGAAGAGGAGCATCAGAACCGACAAACACAAATATGTGGAGGATTTGGTAATGACGGCGGAAAAGGCTGCAACAGAAGGAAACATGAGACAATTGTATGGCACAACAAACAAACTTGCTGGGAATTATCGTAAACCAGAACGACCAGTGAAAAGCAAGGAGGGCGAGGTAATCACCAACACTGAAGAACAACGAAACAGGTGGGTTGAGCATTACAAAGAACTCTTGAATTGACCAGCTCCACTGAACCCACCCAATATCGAAGTAGCACCCACGGACCTCCCAATTAATGTTGGCCCACCAACAATTGAAGAAATCAGCATGGCCATCAGACGAATCAAGAGTGGCAAAGCAGCAGGGCCGGACAACATCCCAGCAAAGGCACTGAAAGCCGACGTAGTGGTAACTGCAAGGATACTCCACATTCTCTTCAATAAGATTTGGAATGAGGAACAAGTACCAAGAAACTGGAGAGAAGAATTTCTGATCGAAATACCGAAGAAAGGCAATCTCAGCAAGTGTGATAACTACAGGGGCATCACTCTTCTCTCAATACCAGGAAAAGTCTTCGACAGGGCATTGTTAAACAGAATGGAGGACTGCGTAGACCCCCAACTTCGAGACCAACAGGCAGGATTCCGTGAGGATGGATCGTTTACAGACCAAATCACAAAACTACGAATCATTGTGGAACAATCAATTGAATGGAATTCATCACTCTACATCAACTTCATTGACTACGAAAAGGCATTTGATAGCTTGGACAGGACAACACTATGGAAACTTCTTCGACACTACGGCGTGCCTCAGAAGATAGTCAATATCATGCAGAATTCATATGATGGATTAAATGCAAAATCGTGCATGGAGGACAGTTGACAAAGTCGTTAGAAGTAAAGACCGGTGTCAGGCAAGGTTGCTTACTCTCAACCTTCCTCTCTCTCTTGGTGATCGACTGGATCATGAAGACGTCAAGGTCTGAAGGGAAGCGCGGGATGCAATGGACATCTAGGATGCAGTTAGACGATCTAGACTTAGTAGATGATCTGACTCTTCTGTGTACAATGGGTCACACAAAATGCATCTCACTCTTCTTTACGTTAAATACATGTTTGTGTTTGTAAGATTTTTTCTAAGCTTCACATGTTCTTAATAATGAGTACTCCTGATTTCCAGGATATCCCAAATCGCGGTAGAAAATAGTGTCACTTTAACATATTATGATATAAATTATGCCATCACATCATGTTAAGTTCATAGTATTGGCCCAGAACTTTTGTTCTTGTAGCGTCAATGAATACCCCGACAACTTCACTTCCCAACAGTTTTCAGAGTTTCGTAGTTTCCTGATAAATTAAGTAGTCACACCATAGTTTGTCTACCATATTGGGGTTAGGCCTATTATTTTAGCAATACTACTACTGCTACCGAAGTAGACCGTAGTTCAACACTATCACTATTTATCTATTATTTTTTGTCATGTATGAAGCAGAAGTTGTTCCAATCACGCTGTTTCACAATATACGGTACAAATTGTCTGCTTTGCAGTTATTGTTCACTGCACATTCAGCTTTCACAGTTAGCTCGAGTTCCGTCATGAATCAATCTAATTCTAATGTTAGACATGTCTTTTACAAATCCGCTGAGGTCGCCAATCAACTAAAAACGTGTTACGGAAGACAGTCTCCCAATTTCACTCTTTATTGCCTGTCAGTTCCGAAATTGCGGAGACCAACAAATTATCGGTAAATATATAGGATATAATAAGCAACTTTCCTTGTGTTAGCTGTAGGGGATCCACTTTTCTATTAAAACGTACAGCTAGTCGTTACGGTTTCTGATGGCGTGTTCCTCATAACTTTTTTAGATAACTCAAGTAATTCATAAGATTTACGTTTGTGACGGATCCGAACCTTTTGCAGTTAACTAATTAATTCGAAACGAAGATAAGCATAAATATTTTGTGGGGCTAGAGCATATTTACAATTTGTCACTTCGGCAAATGTTGGATAGCTAAAGCCCTTTATCCTTCTGGCTCAACCCCTTTAAAATGAAAAATAATTAACAGCACTAATTTTTATAAACAAAGTACGATTTTCATCGCTTTTTTGTCAAGTAAAAACAAACTGACACGAATTAAAGTGAGTCGTTGTGGTGAATGGTCAAAGTAAATATTGTTTAGGCGGACGATCTAACAAACCCGTAACATAAACCGAGAAGACAGAAAAATTTTCCGGTAATTATCGTTTGCAAATGTGTATTTTACTGAGGCGGTAGTGTAGTATTTGCAGTGAGGTTTTTAGGCATAACAGCGAGTAATAAAGTATTCAATATTCATCAAGGTTTCTAGGTATCAGACCTAATTTTCAGAGTGGTCTTTGGGGCAACACAATGTATTAATTCATAGATGTGTAGATAATTTTTCGCTCTGTGAACATAAAAGAAGTGTGGTTGAGCTGTAACACGAAAATATTGCAGTAAATGTAGAACAAAACTGTTAAAGACTGAAAAAGTACAGTTGGCTACTTTAATTATGTGCTTATATATAACGTAGTGTAAGAAAATAATTTTTAGAAGGCCTCTTAAGTTATATGGTCGTATTTCTTGAGTTTTCCTTCTGTTTTCTTATATTTTGACTTTCATCCGGTATTTATGTAGCCATGTTCTGATTTTATGTAGTATTATTTGACACCGGAAAGAATATGATATATTGTCCCATTTTCTTGTTTTATGATGACGCAACTTCATAAGGTTGTGTGTGGCTAAACTTAAGAATTAAGAATGATGGAATTGCTGATTATAACTCCTCGTATATCCACTAAGAGCATTTGTGGTTTGGCTTGATTTTAGCGAAATAGAAATTTGATCTCGTTCTGATGGTTCTCAACTATTCAGTCATTGTATTCAGTGACCATTTTAAAGTACTTTATGTCGTAACAGAAGAACTATCGACTGTAAAGGAGCTGAACAACATCACTGACCTGATTTGAATTCTTGGTATAGTTTGCTATCATATAGTTTAGGAAACATTCAGATGTAAAGCTGTGAGTGGGACACAACATCTGACTGCAAAGGACACAGCGAAACTTCGAAACTTGTATAAAAATGCGATGTTTTGAATCACAAGATATATTGCCGTTTATTTGTTATGATTAACCGATGTCACTTCATTTCCGTCATTAAAGTTATATAAACTCAGATAATTTATAAATGATATCAGCTGATCAGTTGTTCAGTTTGCAATGTTATTGGTTCCCAACCAGACAATTCTTGAAAATAAACATTTTAACTACTGCAAAGATCTATATTCGACATCTAACACTTAGATGAGGTGAAACGGTAGTGAACCCGGGGACAATTGGTCGGTATTCACTAGGATTTTTTAGTTCAATTCTAAAATAAGGGTGAACTATCGACAATTCTGCATAAAAAGAAAGAACTGAGAGGTTACTGACCGGATATTG